GATCATAAGCCATTAGTGCCAATTCTCACGACGCACACATTGGATCAACTCACTCCAAGGATTCAGCGAATGAGAATGAGACTGATGCGATTCAACTTCAAGGAAGTCAAGCATACACCAGGTAAAGAATTGTGTGTGGCAGATGCCCTGTCAAGACTACAAAGCAAACAGCAGAATGCTGTGCCAACCATCAGTGATGAAGAAATGAAGGCACACGTGGACAGCTTTATTCAGACACTACCCGTCTCTGACGCAAAGCTGCAAGAGATAATCGAGCTACAAGACGAAGATGTTGTGTGCAAGGAGCTAAAAAGGTTCTGCCTAGAGGGATGGCCAATCAAAGACAGACTGACAACATCACTGAAACCATACTGGAGTGAGAGAGCATCACTCGCAGTCGTTAACAATCTTCTTGTTAAAGAGTCAAGGATCGTAATGCCATCAGCCATGCGCTTGGAAGTACTGGATAAGATCCAYRAGGKACACSAGGGAATAACCAAGTGTAGAGCCCGAGCAAAAAGTGCTGTTTGGTGGCCTGGACTCAGCCGAGAAATATAAGACATGGTTAGTAATTGCAGAATTTGTGCAAAACAGCAAGAGGCCAGAAAGGAACCACTTATGCCAACTCCTATGCCAGAACGCCCCTGGCAAGTCATAGCTACTGACTTATTTCAGCTACAAAGTGACATTTACCTACTCATAATAGACTATTTCTCAAGATATGTTGAAGTGGCAAAGGTAACCCAGTCACAGACATCACAGGAAATCATAAAGAAGTTAAAGGAAGTCTTCGCAAGACATGGTATACCTGAGCAGATAAGATCTGACAATGGACCGCAGTACTCTTCAGCAGAGTTTGCTCAATTTGTAAATGAGTGGGGAATCAAACACACCACTAGCAGTCCAAAGTTCCCCAGTTCCAATGGCGAGGTTGAGAGAGGTGTTAGAACTGTAAAGAATCTGTTAAAGAAAGGTGAGGACCACTGGAAAGCACTCATACAGATCATACAGATCCATCCCATAAGCCTGCGGCCATTCCCCAGCGGAGCTGTTGATGGGCAGGAAGCTAAGAACAACATTGCCAATGTTGCCATCTGCCTTGACACCAAAGTGGCCAAACATGGAAGCTCTCCAAAAGATGGAAGCTGAGAGCAGAGAGAAAATGAGGAAAAACTACAACGAGAGACATGCAACACATCAGCAAGTTGCACTTCAGCCTGAAGAGAAGGTATTCATAAAAGACATGGGAGTGGAAGGCAATGTTAAAGAGYCAGCACAAACTCCAAGATCCTACCATGTACAGACACCTAAAGGCCTAATTAGAARAAACCGCTCACATCTAGTGAAGTTGCCTGAAGCAGACAAGGAGGACAACTCASCACAGCCGGATCGAGACCTGCAAGTGAAACYGCCCCCATCACCTTGCCTGGACTCAAGACCGAAGAGAATCATAAAGCCATCACTAAAATTAAGAGAAAGCTTGGGACTCACTTAAATATATGTTACAATTTATGTTTGTTTGTAGCAACGTTGAACATTGAGTGACTATTTTGAACCATGTTAGTTCAGTCATCATAAACCCCAAAAGCATTATATTTTCAAGTGTTAACCCTAATAAGGGGAGATGTTRTATTATGTTAATTAGCCATGCTAATGTATGTATGAGAGAGACTGGAAACTAATATAGTTAGTTGACCACGAGGAATAAACATGGCGGACGCAAGTTTGTATTGTCATACTTCACTCGTCAATAACTCAACACTCTTTTGCATAATAGAGCCACTATATTGAAGATAAATCTAATTTGCAAACTTTCACACGTTGACAAGAAAGGCTTGATAGTCTAGTTTTTTTTAATTTAAAATTCCTTGAATGCCAACAGATCGTTTCTTTTAAGCGGTTCATAATGTTGATTTAAATTGTTTTAAATGGGCGCATGGGAAGAATTATAAAACAAGCATTGCAGACTTCCACAACCCGTCGATACTAGAATCAAAACCAATTCTGGACAATGAGGTCCGTTTCAAATGTCGATCTTTTGCCGCGTCTAATCTATTTACTTGTATGTAGTTTACGAGAAGTTGAGATAGCTGTATAGCTTAAATAAAAATGTTTCCTTTTGAAATTTTGCATTTATTGAACTGAGCTCAAAATAGTTTTGAAATAATATTCGCTACTGAAATCACTTAAGCATGTTTTTGCTCTTTTGTTTCTTGTGACAATCTCATTACAGTCATTAGAATATTAGCAAACTCATTAGCATCTAAAAAGTGGGTTATGCAAATACGTTCTAATATGTCTGCAGAAAGAGCACAACTGTTATATACTGGTGATAATAATGTAGAGTCATAAGCATACTTAAACTATGCATGTTTGGTTACTAAATTGAGGTGAACGTCTAGATCATTAAGAAATATAATAAAGAGATAGGGTTCACTAACGCTTCCCTGTGTTGTGCCTTTGTTAACTGCTTTCCAATCACAGACGATGTCACTCCAGACCACACGTTGTTGTCTGTCTTTTAGGAAGTTCAGATACCAGTTGGTTAGATAAACATTGAGACCCACGTTCTTGAGCTTTTCTGCGAGAAGATCATGCTTAACCGAGTCAAACGCCTTGCTAAAGTCCGTTGCAAAAAGGACGAAGTGCTTTGCAATTAGGATCATCTACTAGATGTTTGTATACGTGGTGTTGAATAGATAATAAGGCATTCGTACAGTTCCCTCCTTGACAGTATGCAAACTGGTTACAACTAAGCTTCTCCTCGACAGTGTTTTTTTACCAGTCTTTCAAATGCCCTCGCAATTACAGGAGTTATACTTATTCCACGATATATAGTCTTGGTTACTTTTCGGAATATCAACTTTGCTTTGTTCTTCCGGTCGAGTATGATGAAGGAGCCCCGCTAGTGCTACTAATGTTGTTGCTATTGTTGTTTTTTAGTTGTTGTTTGTTTTCGCTTTTGTTGTTAATAAATGATCTGTTTTAAAAATCTATAGAGTTGGCTCGCGTTTGATAAAGTACACCAGCCTCTATTCAGTGAAAAGAGACAGATATACTTTCCCAACAAAGGAAGTCCATCAGTGAGAAGTAATGGAGCTTTTTGCAAGGTATGCGATGACCTAACTTGCGTAAACTAATAATTCAGGTGTATGATGAGATAAACATTTACAGTCATAAGCTGACTGCAGTATGATATTTTAAACTACAAACACCTGAAATACCTGTGAACATGTGTAGTAGTTTATATATTATTATGATAAAAGTTTCTGTGATTTCCAGAGCAGATAATAATAAGATACGTAAACGACCCTATTTTTACATCTTGTTTATTTTCGTTTTTAGGATGTCAAATACATCAAGAGTTACAGTTTTGTGCCTGTTGTTATCTTGTCGACCAACCATACACAAAGACAGGATGCAAACAAAGCAGTCTGCGATGGAGTTTCAACGTGGATCGAGGTTAGGCGGTTTTTCACTCATCTAAAATGATGCGTTCATCAAAGTTTCATTTCAATATTTTCTTCTCCAGTACCTAAACACGACAGGATTTCGTGTGTGTGTCAAGGAACTCTACACCAAACAATACGAGCCACTGACAATTAGCTACTTGGCATTGGCAGGTAAAAATGTTGTCTGGACAATGGTTGGTTCCACGATGTTTATCACATGACTCAGATCAGCTCATATGATCATGTGGCCAATCATGGCGATAAATACTGTCCTTCCACTAAACATCTTCCTTAGTTTTCCTTGATGATTTCTTTGTTATTTGTTTAATCATGAGTGAAAATGAGCCATAAGTAAATATAACTTATACCAATGTAATTTCAGATATATGTGATCCAGGATGGAGATACTTCGATGGAGTTTGTTTTCAGATCAGCTCTTCGTGTGATACTTGGTTGAATGCAGAGAATCAGTGCAGGTCATCACAGTCACACCTCGCAACCATCAGATCTCAGCGAGAAAACGTGTTTGTACAACAACAGCTCAACGGTGCCAAGGGCTGGTTTGGCTTCAATGACAGAAGCGTTGAAGGAGATTTCCGATGGTCGAGTAAACTGCGAGGGAACTGGACCTACTGGGAAGTCAATCAACCTGATAATGCAGGGAATCAAGACTGTGTTCGCACTCTTGGTGTTCATCACGACTACCGCTGGGACGATGTTTCATGTACTGACTGCCATAACTTTACTTGTGCTAAAGGTGTGATACCATCATCATTGTTGTACACTTCGGATAAAACGATTTCTGTTTCCTGTGGTGATAGCATAAAGAGCCCATCATTTTGCAACATCATTTTTCTTGAGGAAAACGATTGATATGTATAAATTAACTTCTTTTAGTACTTGATATAGATTATTGTTTTTCCTTTGTAGATATTGATGAATGTTCAGTTGATCAACACAGTTGTCATGGTGATGCTATTTGTACCAATACGTACGGATCGCACACATGTCAATGYAAAACCGGTTTTACTGGAAATGGTGTGCAATGTACTGGTAAGAACTACTTATAATCATTAGCTTTCTTTATTTCAATGTACTATCTAACAACTTATCTTTTCGTAATGCAATGTACGTGATTCTAGATATTGATGAGTGCTCAACCTCTCCTTGTGATGTGAATGCCACGTGCTCTAACGTCCAAGGATCTTATATCTGTCAATGTAACCATGGTTACTCTGGGGATGGGTACACCTGCACTGGTAAGAGGTTTAGGCAAAGATATCAAATCGACTATCAAATTATTCATATTTCGTGGTATTCGTGTTTTACTGAAGTCCTGATCTTTTCTCAATTCAGTGTTTTCATTAAGCAATAAACGATAGCTTGAAGGGGTTTACTGGCGAAATAAACCGCCCGGGATGGTTGGGAGAACACGAGAAAAGATCCATGAGTATAATCATTAGGAGCTGTCAAACAAGTGATTTACCTTTTCTCGTATTCTCCCAACAACGATCACAAGTGGCTTAGTTATTTCCCCAGTAAACTCCTTCAAGCTATCGTTTATTGCTTTTATATTATAGCTTTTATATATATTATTTTAGGCTCAAAAGTCTTTCGAGACAGCAGCCTGGTTTACCTGCGAAATAAACCATAGCTTTTCTCATGAAATCCGCCAATCAGCGCGTGCATTAGAAGTGAGCTAATATAAATGGCGTCTAACGGCTCTGTTTGCAGTAGTTCACACAGTTAAGACCTTATTTTTTAATGAAATTGGGACTCACTTGGCTTTGAGGTTTTAAATGGACCTCTTCGTTTTGTAGATCCTTGGATATTTCTGTCCTTTTGCGTTTTCTTAGCCGATCTCAGAAAGTTCCCTTCAGACATTCCGTTTTTATTGCAGGTTTACGGTTGTCTTGTAGACTTTACCTCAACCACATCCCACAGTTTTGCTTATCGTTTCACATTCCCTATTACGCTTTGACAACTGAGCATTACATCTTAACCCCTAATGAGTAATATTAATCTGGGTTTGCCATGACACAAATATGAAGCCATTGATACTCGATCAATAATGATGTAGACGCAAAATTCGCTTTTTAAAATACTTGTTAAAATACTCGATTTAAACAGTTTCATCACATCTTGAAACTAAGTACATCGATAGGTAAAAAAGCTGTAATAAGTATGTAAAAATCGGTCCACAACTGTGAATAAAACAAAAGCTAATGTTAGACTAATATATAATATGTAATTAAAGTGAAAAACGAGAGGAAACTTACATTATATTCCTTCTGCGGCTACACACGGATACACAAACTAAATGTCTTACTGAAATTGAACCATGTGGCTGGGTCCCGTCCCAGGCCCTAACGGACACTATTGGCCGTTACATTCCCGGCTCCTAAACCGTTTACTTAAGGTTTACTTATTACTAAAAACAACAACTGTAGATATACTAAGAATATAAATGATCAGTTCATAATGTTCATGTTGATATTTGGAATGTCTATTGCTCTTCTGTGGCTAGAAGAAGCACCAACTTGTTAATGGGTCTTCTCAGCGTTGATGATTTCGTATTCAATGTCCTTCATCTAGGTATGGATCAAGACGGTAGATAGAGATAGAGATAGACCTTTTCATAACCCTCTTTGCGTCCCTTTGATCCTGCTTATCGGCGAGACGGTTGGCGATCAGTAAAAACTCGGTTTGGTACGCTTATAACTGCACGTAACGGATAATAGCAAGCTCAGCCTTCTGTACTTCACAGACTGACATTGGCTGTGGTTTCACGGTTTCTTTGGATTCAGATTTGCCTTCCCTTTTGGACTGTAACCTCCTTTCCTTGCGATCGTAGAGTATTTTACGCAAACGTAGATACGGGTACAGCTTTCTTAAGGCGATACCAATCGGAGTAGTGATGAATGAGCTTCTCAAAGGTCTTGCTAGGTTCTTGGGCTACCTTCGTGGCAGAACAGGTTACTACAGGTTTGATCTCAGGATCATCCCTTTCGATTCCGCTTTCCAGGGAAAGGGGCTGCTCTGGCCATTCTTATTCGCGTTTCCAGAGAAAGTCAGGTCCATTAAGCCATCGTTGATTGTCTAAGAGAGCCTGTGCATCTAGAACTTGAGAGGAATCTTCTGACGGATTTTCTTTCGTGCTTACGTACCTCCACTGATTAACGTCCGACAAATTGATGATTGTTTGCACTCGATTTGCGATGATAACTTGAAATCGTGTCTGCTGGTTTGCTAAGTAACGAAGAACCGTAGTGGAGTCTGTATGATACTCGAAGATTGCACTTTCATCAAGCTCTGTTTTAAGCATTTCCCCCACACGGGAAGATACTGTGGCGGCTGTTAACTCCAAGCGTGGTATAGTGGTTGTCTTTACGGGTGCGAGGCGGGCCTTAAATCTTCTGGATACACTTTTAAACATATTCCTAGAGGTAGTAGAGGTGGTGGAGTTGTTTTGTTTTTTTGTTTTTTTTTGTATATAAAATCCTTAAAACTTAACCAAATTTCTCTAAATAAATACAAATCTTTCGAACTAATGGGCATGTCTCTTAATTCTTCGCCACAAATACCTATTTCCGTCTTATACAGACCACCTCCTTCTAAGCGCAATAAATTAACTGAGGTCATGTTTTTGAGGAATTTTCTCTTTTCCTTGAGCAATTTTCTTCGAGATCTTGTTCTTTCCTACTAGTAGGTGATTTCAACTTTCATGTTGATGATGTCTCGGATTCATCTGCCATAAAGTTTCTTAATCTACTTGAGCTTTTCATTTTAACACAACATGTCAAAGAAGCCCCTCATCGTAACAATCATATTCTTGACTTAGTCATTACTAGGGCTCAAGACAACGTTATTTCCAACATTACTGTTTCTGATCCATTGATTTCTGATCACTGTGCTGTTTCTGGTGATCTACGGATAAACAAGCCACCTTTTCCAAAGATTGTTTCTAGAAGACGTAATCTCAATGCTATTGTTAAGGAAAAATTTTTAGATGACATCTGTAATTCCTCACTATTGCATTCTACTTCAAATGATCTTGTATCTTTTATAAACCAGTATGAGTCGGATTTATCTGTTATCCTTGATATCCACGCTCCCTCTAAGAATCGTATTATCACGTTACGTTCTCCTTGGTACTCATCAGAGATTAAATCACAGAAAGCTAAACGTCGAAATCTTGAGAATAAATGGCGAAAATCTCGTCTGACAACTGATAAACAGTTATATAATGAACAATGCAATGTGGTTAAAAATCTCATCAAGTCATCTAAAAATGAATATTACTCTAATATAATAAATGAGCACAAGGGAGACCAGAAAGTGCTGTTTTCTACTTTTGAGAAGATGACTCACAAAAATGGTAATAAAGAGTTTCCATCAGCTTCTTCCGACAAGCATCTTGCTAATTCGTTTGCTGACTTTTTTGTGGAAAAAATCAAAACAATTCAAAGTAATTTTGTCAACGTCAGTTGTTACCTGGGTAATCAGCCTGTTTTACTAAACAACAGTCTTTCATTTTTTTCTGAGGTTTCCACTGAGTATGTCTCGAAAATTATTTCTCCATTAGTATCAAAGTCGTGCAGTCTTGATCCTCTTCCTRRCRAAGCTTTAAAACTTTGCATARATCARTTAATCCCGATTATTACTAAAATAATCAATCTTTCTTTGGAGAATGCATTAATGCCTTTACCACTTAAGCTTTCTGTTATTAAACCACTTCTTAAAAAGCAAACCTTGCCGTCAGAGGAGTTTTCGAGTTTTAGACCGATTTCAAATCTAAAGTTTTTATCAAAAGCCATTGAAAAGGTAGTGGCCACAGCTGGTTGACTACCTCGAACAGAATAACCTTCAGTTGCCACTCTAATCGGCATATAAGAAACATCATAGTGTCGAAACTGCCCTCTTGAAAGTTCACAATTACATTTTGCGTGCAATTGATCAACGCAAATCAGTTTTTCTTGTTCTTCTAGATTTRTCTGCAGCTTTTGACACAGTTAATCATCGAATATTATTAAATCGACTTTTTTCAGATTTTGGTATTACTGGGAATGCTTATAATTGGTTTAAATCCTACCTAAGCTACAGAACTTTCTATGTTAGTGTACAGGATGGCACATCTACTTCCCGTAGTTTTGATTGTGGTGTTCCACAGGGTTCTGTTTTAGGACCTTTTTTGTTTTCACTGTATATATCCCCTATTGCAAATGTCTTCATGGTTTAGAGTATCACTTATATGCTGATGACACTCAACATTTCCTTTCCTTCATCATCCTCTGTTGAGCTCAATATTGCAAAACACAAAGTTGAAGCCTGTGTTCATGACATTGACATGTGGATGGTTCAAAATAAATTGAAATTAAATGGAGACAAGACTGAGATATTGATGATCTCCTCTCCACGACGTTCTTCTCCATCTTTGGATTCTTTTAGTATTTCTGGCTTTGATGTTTCTCCATCAGCAACTGTTCCAAGCATCGGTGTTATTTTTGATAAGAATATGTCACTTGATGCTCATGTAACAGCAAAATGTCAAGCATGCTTCTCATACGCATTAATTATTCATGAGGTATCCAGCCAATCCCTGATTGTAATTTGTACCACGTGAAGTAAATTGAAACCAGAGGAAGTACTCGTACCTTGTATTCTACCTTATTTCCAGTTACTTCTACCTTTTTCAAGTTACTTCTACATTATTTCCAGCTATTTCTACCTTATTTCCAGTTACTTCTACCATGTTTCCAACTACTACTAGCTAATGATAATCAAATTATTAGAAATAATCAGTTTAACATTAATTTAGTGAAAAAAGGTATTTGATACATGACTCCCTCCCGACTCGATCCCCTACCGTCCAGTCTATATGCGCCGTCTTATACCATTACACCACCGAGTTTCTGATGCCATTCCTCGGAAGATAACATACTTATAAATCTTATGGATTAGGCTCATTAGGAATGCCCTGAATAGCAGACAAAGACAACTTGGATAGCTTTTGTTTCAGAAATCCGTCAGGAATTGAAGAATAACAAACGGTGCTTCATGTGTTCAAAATTATGAAAACTGAAAACCTTAGTGGAGATGCAATAAATCAATATATGTCTGTTATATGTATTTCCTTCGCTTTTTACCCCTCCCGAATAATTAATGAGCATGAGAAGTAGGCCTAGTCCGGGACCTAAAATCGCCTAAAATCGCCCAAAATCGCAGTAAATCGCCTTAGATTTAGATGGGGTTTTGGTGA